CAGCTCTGTCTTGCAGGCCCTGCGGAAAGATGTCAAGTCCCACAGGGCCCTGGTCTCTTGGGACAGAGTGTTCCACCAGATCGGAGCCACAGCCGAAAAAGCCCTGGCTCTAGTTGAGGCCAGCCTAACTTCTCTGTGGCCTGGGACCTTCAGGATGTTTTTATTTGCAGACCGTAGGTTTCTCTGTGGGGCATACCAGGAGAGGCGGTCCCGTAGGTACGAGGGTCCTAGGCCGTATAGGGCTTTAAAGGTTAAAACCAGCACCTTAAACCTGATCCTGTACTCCACCGGGAGCCAGTGCAGCTGGTATAGCACCGGGTGAATGTGATCTCGCCGCGAAGACCTCGTAAGGAGTCTCGCTGCAGCATTCTGCACCCATTGGAGTTTCTGGGTCAGTCTCAGGGGCAGCCCCACGTAGAGCGAGTTACAATAATCCAGTCTGGAGGTGACCGTCGCATGGATCACAGTGGCTAGGTCAGGGCGAGAGAGGTAAGGAGCCAACTGCTTAGCTTGGCGGAGATGGAAAAATGCCGCCTTTGTTATAGCTGCAATCTGCGCCTCCATGGAAAGGGAGGTGTCGAAGATTACACCCAAACTCTTAATGGACGGTGCTGGCACTAATTGCACCCCCGCAAGAGATGGGAGTTGCCCCCTCAATCCCATATTGTCCCGTCCCAGCCACAGGACCTCTGTCTTCAAAGGATTTAGCTTCAACCGGCTCCCACGTAACCATCCAGCCACAGCTTCCAAACATCTGGTCAGTGTGTCTGGGGCCGAGTCAGGATGGCCATCCATCAACAGATAGAGTTGGGTGTCATCGGCATACTGATGGCAACCCAGCCCAAAACTCCAGACAAGCTGGGCGAGGGGGCGCATAAAGATGTTGAAAAGCATCGGGGAGAGTATCGCACCCTGAGGCACTCCACACACCAAGGAGTGGCAGGATGACACTTCCCCCCCATGCGCCACCCTCTGTCCCCGACCATATGTACCATATGAAGATGCCCTTCCTTTCCCCTGTCTCAAATCTTCCACCATTCAGCTTCTTCAGATGTCCATCAGATGTTCTACGCTACGGTGACGAGAGAGGTATAAAAAAAAATTCTCTGCCCACTTTCTCCTAATTTTATAAACTTCTCTCATTCCAGCTCTTCCTCCCCTTTTCGCTGACCTAAAAAGCCCCAAACACGGCTCCCTTTCCTTATCTTCCAGTATCTGAATGGCTTCCACACAGAAGATGAAGGAAGCTTGCTTTCTCCTGCTCTGGAGGGTAGGACTCGAACCTGTGACTTCAAGTTACAAGAAAGGAGATTCCAACTGAACATCAGGAAGAACTTTCTTTAAATAAATTTTTTATTAACAATTTCAACATAACAAATTATCAAAACAAATCTTCCTCATTATTTCTCCCCCTTTTCCCCCACCTCCCAGCTCCCCAACAAACCCTCCCTCCCCCCCCCCCAAGACTTCCCTCTGCTCCTCTCTCTGATTTCTCAACTCATGTTATTCTCTGCATATTGTAAAATTGTATAAAACGTAAAGGGACCCCTGACCATTAGGTCCAGTCGTGACCGACTCTGGGTTTCACCAGTTCTGCATAGTTCACCGAACACCAGGAAGAACTTTTTGGCAGCAAGATCTGTTTGACAGCGGAACGGTCTCCCTCAGGAGATTGTGGTCTCTCCTTCCTTGCAGATTTTTAAGCAGAGGTCGGATGGCCGTCTGCCATGGCTGCTTTCGCTGAGATTCCTGCATTGCAAGGGGGTCTCTTAAAGGTAAAGGTAAAGGGACCCCTGACCATTAGGTCCATTCGTGGCCGACTCTGGGGTTGCGGTGCTCATCTTGCTTTATTGGCCGAGGGAGCCGGCGTACAGCTTCTGGGTCATGTGGCCAGCATGACTAAGCCGCTTTTAGCGAACCAGAGCAGCGCAGGGAAATGCCGTTTACCTTCCTGCCGGAGTGGTACCTATTTATCTACTTGCACTTCGTGCTTTCGAACTGCTAGGTTGGCAGGAGCAGGGACCAAGCAACGGGAGCTCACCCCGTCGCGGGGATTCGAACCACCGACCTTCTGATTGGCAAGCCCAAGAGGCTCTGTGGTTTAACCCACAGCGCCACCCGCGTCCCTTTTAAGGGGGTCCCTTATGACTCTACAATTCTATGATTGGGAAGTTGCTCTCAATGAGCCAAGAAACTTCTGCATGCATCGTGTGTGTGACTTGGGATGTGCTGGCAATGGGAGGGAGGGAAATCACCCTCTCCAGATCTGCTTTCTCCTCCACACACACCCCTTGCAGTGTTGATCTCAGGCTGGCACCTTTTCCCAGGCCTTGTCACCCCGCAGTCAAAAGCTCTGCGGGCTAAAGGGGCCCCATCCACCCTTACAGCCCTTCAGGGACGGCTCTTCACAACTTTTTCGGGAACCGAAATTAAGAGAAGGAGAAACAGAGCCCCACCCAAGGGCAGCTCCACAATCAAAAGTATGTTGAGTCATCCAGCCTGTTATATAACCACCTGGCAGAGGCACCTACATGATTTGGAGCTGTTGGCAAGATGCTGAGCGGTGCAGGTGGGCGACTTTCCACTAGGGGGCAGCGTGGCTCTGGGGATCAGCCTGTATCAGTATCATGTTGTTGTTGTTTAGTCATTTAGTCGTGTCCGCCTCTTTGTGACCCCCTGGACCAGAGCACGCCAGGCACTCCTGTCTTCAACTGCCTCCGCAGTTTGATCAGACTCATGCTGGTCGCTTCAGGAACACTATCCCACCATCTCATCCTCTGTCCTCCCCTTCTCCTTGTGCCCTCCATCTTTCCCAACATCAGGGTCTTTTCCAGGGAGTCTTCTCTTCTCATGAGGTGGCCAAAGTCTTGGAGCCTCAGCTTCAGGATCTGTCCTTCCAATGAGCACTCAGGGCTGGTTTCCTTCAGAATCAAGAGGTTGGATCTTCTTGCAGTCCATGGGACTCTCAAGAGTCTTCTCCAGCACCAGAATCCAAAAGCATCCATTCTTCGGCGATCAGCCTTCTTGATGGTCCAGCTCTCACTTCCATACATCACTACTGGGAAACCCATAGCTTCAGTATCATAGCTGTCAAGGTCTGAGGGACAGTGGACCGGCCCCCTGCTGAAAAAGTTTGCTGACCCCTGCTCTTGGGCTTGCCGATCAGAAGGTCAGCGGTTAGAATCCCCATGATGGGGTGAGCTCCCGTTGCTCGGTCCCTGCTCCTGCCAACCTAGCAGTTTGAAAGCACACCAGTGCAAGTAGATAAATAGGTACCGCTGTGGCGGGAAGGTAAATGGCATTTCCATGCGCTCTGGTTTCCGGAAAGCTGTCTGTGGACAAACACCGGCTCCCTTGGCCTGAAAGAGAGATGAGCGCCGCAACCCCATAGTAGCCTTTGACTGGACTTAATAACCATCCAGGGGTTCTTTACTTTTACTTTACTTTACCTTACCTTATGGACGCGGGTGGCGCTGTGGGTTAAACCACAGAGCCTAGGACTTGCTGATCAGAAGGCTGCGGTTCGAATCCCCGCAACAGGGTGAGCTCCCGTTGCTCTGTCCCAGCTCCTGCCAACCTAGCAGTTCGAAAGCACGTCAAAGTGCAAGTAGATAAATAGGTACCGCTCCAGCGGGAAGGTAAACGGCGTTTCTGTGCGCTGCTCTGGTTCGCCAGAAGCGGCTTAGTCCTGCTGGCCACATGACCCGGAAGCTGTACACTGGATCCCTCGGCCAATAAAGCGAGATGAGCGCCGCAACCCCAGAGTCGGCCACGACTGGACCTAATGGTCAGGGGTCCCTTTACCTTTACTTTACCTTACCTTACAGAATGGGAGATGCCAGGATCCCCCAAGGATCTGTTCTTTGGGGAGCTGGCTTCAGGCCCCAGGCCCACTGGTGGACCAGCTCTGCATCACAGAGATGTTCTGAAAACGAAACACGACGGCTGGGAGCCTCAACCCTACTGTGTGGGGATCCCTTGCAGGTGACCGCAGCACCCGGAGACAGAAAGACAGACAGGTCATGTATCCACAGCAGAGACCAGAGGAGAAATGATCACTGGAAGGTGTGCAGACAGAAGAAACAGCACAACCAGACGCCTTCGTCTGCCCCAGCTGCAACAAAACATGTCTCTCCTGTATCGGCCTCTACAGACACAGCAGGCGCTGTTAACTCTTCAATGGCTTGACTCCGCCCCAAAGGCGCACTCCTCCATTGTCTCCCGAGACAGACAGGTGCCAATCATGTGTATATACATGTGTCTTCTGCTAAGCCAGAACTTTAAAGCACATTTGGAATGCACGCCCCCTGCCCCTCAAATAATTCTGGGAACTGTAGTTTGATCATGGTTGCTGGGGTTTGTTTCAAATTTTTCAAATTTATTTGTCGTAATTGATGAGGGGGCAAGCTTAGTTGTTCATCTTTATTTATATACTTTATTTATATATATATACACGGCCAGGTTGTTTCTTTTTTATTTTATTTTATTTTTAAAAACAAAAACCTTGGAACAGCCTACAAAAAAAGATGGAACAATAAAATCATCCATAAGGGAAATTAGCAATAATGGAAAACTTTACAAAAGTTGACATAACTGTAAACTAGGAAGAAATTAAAACTCACCGCAACTTTCTAAGCATCTGGGTAGGCTTGTCTAAACAAGAATGCTTTTCACATGCATAAAAAAAAAACAGTGCAAGGACAAGGAGTTCCGTTTATTGTGACATTTCTGACAACTTCCCATTTCAGCCTCACAACAACCCCGTGAGGAAGTTTCGGCTGAGAGAAAGGGCGGCTAGGCACCCAGCAAACTTCATGGTTTCATCATCATTTGCTGACATTTTGTGGATATTATTCCTGCCATTATATGAAATCCATTATATTGGATTTTGCTGATTGCTGACTACTTGTTGGGTTTTGAAATGCTTCTATGTTGACCATGGGACTTTTTCGGAGGATAGAACCATATTAGATATTCTTCAGAAACTGTTTCAGCTATCCTCTGGGATAGCTCAGTCAGGAGAGCACGAGCCTCTTAATCTCAAGGTTGCGAGTTCGAGTCCCACATTGGGCAAAAAGATTCCTGCATCGCAAGGGGTTGGACTAGATCACCCTTGTGGTCCCTTCCATTTCCACAATTCTGTGAGTCTATCCTTGCCAACAAAGGTCCATATAGTTAAAGCTCTGGTTTTCCCAGTAGTGATGTATGGAAGTGAGAGCTGGACCATAAAGAAGGCTGATCGCCGAAGAATGGATGCTTTTGAATTCTGGTGCTGGAGGAGACTCTTGAGAGTCCCATGGACTGCAAGAAGATCAAACCTCTCCATTCAGAAGGAAATCAGCCCTGAGTGCTCACTGGAAGGACAGATCCTGAAGCTGAGGCTCCAAGACTTTGGCCACCTCATGAGAAGAGAAGACTCCCTGGAAAAGACCCTGATGCTGGGAAAGATGGAGGGCACAAGGAGAAGGGGACGACGGAGGACGAGATGGTGGGACAGTGTTCTCGAAGAGACCAGCGTGAGGGAGGCAGTGGAAGACAGGAGTGCCTGGCGTGCTCTGGTCCATGGGGTCACGAAGAGGCGGACACGACTAAACAACTAAACAACAACAACAACAACAACGATCCTTCTATAGTGCCCTGCAAATGGAGAGTTTTTAGAACTGGGTGCATCGTTTAGAAGTCCAAAAATCTCAGCGAAAAGTTGTTGTTTTTCTAGTCTCTTAAGACAGGGTTCCTTGGTTTTGGCTTTCTGTTGCAATGAAAAAGAAAACTGTGTTGCAAAGACAGCGACACAACTGCCCAAGGTTATGGCTCTTGGTGTCCCATGGTCCCCCATCTCCCTGAGCCCCCTAGAGGTCAGGAGGAGGCAGCGCACCAGAAGGCAGGCGTGACCAAGAGACATGGGGGGAAATTGATCATCATCAGACGTGGAATATTTCGCAAGAAGCTCTTCGCGCCTTGGAAAGATTTTGACCGATTGCCAAGAGCGTTGTTTAGGAGGAAGCCAACCGGAGTTGGGAAACATACAACTTCAAACGCAGGACGGAGGGAGGGAAAAGGGATCACCTGCCTTTAAACCGGGTGCCTCCCTCGCAGGAGTGGGAGAAGGTGTCGATTTCAGAGACAGGAGTCACTCCAGATTGGCACGCAGGGCAGATAAGCACCTTCGCAGACCTGGGCTCAATGGCAACACAGCCCTGCAATATTCAAATATTCAACACCCATCTTGGCCCAAGGGCAACTTCTTGGCGTAATACGAGTGAGATTCACCTCCCTCCCAAAAGACAGAAATGCAGGGGGGTTTTAAAAAAAGAAAAACTAGATCAGGACTCCCCCCCCCAAAAAAAAATCCAATTGCCCGCATGCGAAGGCAGATTTATGCAAGGAGATTCCTGGCTGTTGCCATGTTCAGATGAGACTCATCACGTGCCGGCAAATCCAGGTGGTGCAATTAGAGTTGATTGGATAGTTGTGGCGCCACGAAACCTGCTTCCGCAAAAGAAAGGATGTTTTGCTGTAAGGAAAGTGACAGGGAAACACAATGGAAACAGAACTTGCTTTGATGCGCCGTCGTCCAGCCTCCCCACAAACAAACCAGAATGGGTGATCGACCCAGAGCCAAAGTCGAGGAGGAGGGTGATGCAGGAGGAGGGTGACTGATTGATTGATTGATTGATTGATTGATTGATTCATAGAATCAAGGATCGGAGTAGAAAGGGACCCTGAGAATAATTTAGTCCAACCCTCTACAGTGCAAGAATGTGCAGCTGTCACTTATGGGGATCAAACCTGCGAACGTGGTGTGATTGATTGATTGATTGATTGATTGATTGTATTTCTCTCCCGCCTTTCATTTCCATGGTTCGCAATGCAGCTTGCAAACTTTCAATGAAAATATTGTATTAGAACATCACAAACATATATCATATAGAATAGCAAGCAAATGTCAGTAAAAACAATTGCAATCTATGAAACACAATTAAAATAACTAAAAATAATAATACAGCGGTAATTCCAGTTACAGACAGGATCCATTCCAGAGGCCCGGCTGTATCCCAAAAGCCCATAACCGGAGACACCCTTCTGCGCACGCACACGGCGCGATTAAGCGCTTCTTCACATGTGCGCACAGTGAAACCCGCAAGTATACACTTCTGGGTTTGCCGCATTCGCAACCCGAAGTTTACGTATCCAGAGGGATACGTAAGCAGAGGTACAACTGTACTTGAAACAGCACAATGACAACAAGAGTCATATTACAGGATTCAGAAAGTGTCCCATTAACAGGCTTTCTGGGAGTGCCACGGTGACACCCAGAATTCCTTTTTCTTCTTGGATCAACTGCCTGAGCAAACATATCCCTCTTCCGGAGATTTTGACCTGTTTGGGGAACGGTTATCACAAACCTCTCCAAACCGCAGGGCAACACAATCTTTTTCTTTTCTTTTCCCTCTTTTAAACTTTATTCCAAAACCGAAAAAGAATCGCAAACATCAAATTCAAAATCCATATTCGTTTTGTGACATAAGCCTATTACATAGTTGACTAGATTAAAATATACCTAATTGCTATGGACTTCCCTTTGCTGTATATGCAACGCAATTAGAAATATTATATTAGAATTTTTTATAAATTCCCCTATACCCCCCACTTCCCTTCACCCATGTGTGATCTCAATATTTATTTTTTTTACTTCTTCCATCTTGTTGTGTTGTTGTAGTTTAATAATTATTCAATTGATTCTTTTATTATTTCCTCGCTTACCCCTGCACGTTTTACACATTATCTATTAATATTCAGGGCAACACAATCTTTTGGGATGCCCCAAGGCCCCTTGAAGGCCTTACTGGTCAGTAGCCAGCTCTTATCCCATGCCAACCAGACAGGGCATAGTGATATCTTAAGGGGAGAATGGCATTAATTTGGGGGTGGTAACGAGAAAGACACATTAACTGAAGGGCAGTGGGCTGCGCGAATGATCATTAATGCGCTTCGAAAGGGAACATGGGGTATCGGGTGTATCTGTGAATGAATGGAGATTGAATCGGCAGAGCTACACCAATTCTGAAACAGTTCCCCATCCATGAAGGTTTCAGAACCAGGCACAACATCCCCTGCTCCAAACCACTTTAAAAAGAGAATCAAGTTTCCGGTCCTCAAGAGAGCCTTGGGAGACCACAAGATCTCAGAAACCACCAGTGGGCATTGTGGTTCTGAAGGGCTGCCTTCAGATGCCTTCTAAAAGTCAGATAGTTGTTTATTTCCTTGACATCTGATGGGAGGGCGTTCCACAGGGCGGGCGCCACCACCGAGAAGGCCCTCTGTCTGGTTCCCTGTAACCTCACTTCTCGCAGGGAGGGAACCACCAGAAGAAGAAGAAGAAGAAGAAGAGTTTGGATTTGATATCCCGCCTTTCACTCCCCTTCAGGAGTCTCAAAGCGGCTAACATTCTCCTTTCCCTTCCTCCCCCACAACAAACACTCTGTGAGGTGAGTGGGGCTGAGAGACTTCAAAGAAGTGTGACTGGCCCAAGGTCACCCAGCAGCTGCATGTGGAGGAGCAGAGACGCGAACCTGGTTCCCCAGATTACGAGACTACCGCTCTTAACCACTACACCACACTGGCTCTCACCAGAAGGCCCTCGGATCTGGACGTTGGGGTATGGGCAGAATGATGGGGGTGGAGACACTCCTTCAGGTCTACTGGGCAGAGGCTGTTTAGGGCAGGCATAGGCAAACCTGGCCCTCCAGATGTTTTGGGACTACAACTCCCATCATCCCTGACCACTGGTCCTGTTAACTAGGGATGATGGGAGTTGTAGTCCCAAAACATCTGGAGGGCCGAGTTTGCCTATGCCTGGTTTAAGGGCTTTCAAGGTCAGCACCAACACTTTGAATTGTGCTCAGAAACGTACTGGGAGCCAGTGTAGGTCTTTCAAGACCGGTGTTATGTTGTCTCGGCAGCCGCTCCCAGTCTCACCAGTCTGGCAGCCACATTCTGGATTAGTTGCAGTTTACTTTAACCTTCTGCATGAAACACAGATCCTCTAGCACTGAGCTATGGTCCTTCCATAAAGAACCAACATGAACACAATGAGGATAAGGCCGATTCCGGACAATTCAGAGAAAGGCTGATTTCAGCGGCCACACTTCTGCTCTGCAGGCAGAAATCCCCCACTTTGATTCTTGGTGTCTACACGCCATAGCTGTCAACCTTCCCTTTTTTGTGGGAAATTCCCTTATTCCAGCGCCGTTTCCCGCTGCTTCCCGCTGCTATCCCGGATTGTTAGATATCCCGTAGACTGTCCCCTGGATAGGTGAGGCTGCTGGTCCCTTATTTTTGAGGCTGCTATTCCCTTATTTTCAAATCTGAAAGTTGACAGCTATGCTCCACGCAGGGCTGGGCAAGGCACCCTGGAGAGCAGCTGCCGGTCCGTGCAGACATTACTGAACGAGATGGGCCAAGAGGCTTCCTAATCTGGGAACTTCCCTGCCTCTCAGCCCCACACATTGCGTCAGCCAGCCCTTAACAGATACGGTGTTGGCCAAACTGCACTTGTGATACGGTTGTGCCGGTAAAAGCTGCACCTGTGAAACTGCGGCGCTCCCCGTCCGCATATCGTCGGCGAGGAGAGAGAAGCACCGCCAGAGCCCTTCTGGCGATGAGAAGGAGCGAAGGTGGCATCCTGCCCGGGCGAGTTGTTTTCGAAGGCTCAGCAACACCTGGCATTGTCAGGGAGCCAGAAGCAGTGGAGGGAAGGCGAAGCCCGGGGGCGGTGGGCAGGATCGGGCCCCTCAGCCCAGCCGCGCCCTGTGCTCTAGCCACTGAGCGTCACTGTCCACGTGCAGCCCCAGGTGTGGAGCCATGTGTCTCCGAAAGTCATCCCGGTAAACAGTAATTATCCCTGGGTCAAGCAACTGGGTGTGTCCCATAGGAGAAAGGGGTTGGGAATTTTTAATGGGGATGTCGCCCAATTTATGCATTTATGGCCTAACTCTTCCCCCCCCCCTCCAAAGAGCTGAAGGTGACTTTTAATCCTGACAACCACCCTGCAAGGTAGTTGAGGCTGAGGGGGA